CTACGCTCAGGCACCCCAGGAGCAAGCGAAAGCCAGTCAGAACAAGATGAAGCGGTACCACAAACACGATCTTCAAGGGGTGCGTGCGCTTCTATTTCGCCAACTACACCAAGTGGAACCAGGCTGGCCTCCAGTATGTGAATAAGATTCGCGATGACGAAAAGTACCATGTCCAACTGTGCGCAGAGACTCACCTACGAGGGCCACCTCTGCATGCGGCTACCAAGAAGCTCAGCAAGGCGCACTGGAAGGTCGGGGCCAGGCCCGCCAACGGGACCCAGGTGCGAAGAGAGCTCGGCCGTGGAGGTACGTGGGTCGCTGTCGGCGCACACCTGAGCCCCAGGGACATCCGACTGCGACGACCGGAGTGGTCTCAGCCAGCTGCTGGGCAAGGCACGTGGGCTGCGCGCGAGGTCCGCCTGCACGGGCACTCGCTCCTTTTCCTCTCCGCGTACTTCGCTTGCGGGGAGGGCCTCTCGGGGGATAACATGCAGATGCTGGAGGAGATGGTTAGCAAAATCCAGGCAACTGGGGTTCCTTTCATCCTTCTAGCCGACTGGAACATGGAAGTGTGGGAGATTCGGGAGTCTGGGATCGAGAACTACCTTGACGCCAGGTTGGCGTTTCCAGAAGGGGCCTCTCGGGAGTTCGGCAAGCGGGTGATCGACTTCGGACTGGTCTCCTCCCACCCCGTCCCTGACCTCACTTTGGAGTATGACCTTGAAGGGCCATGGGCCCACCCTCATCTTGGCATTCGCGGCAGCTTGGCAGGAACCTTCAGGGAACGGCAGATGCAGGTCCTCACCCAACCAGTACCGCTACCCCTGGACGTCCAAGGGCCTACGCTGGCCTGGGAGGTCTTCCTGGAGAAAGCTCGTGCCCGACTTCCAAGCCGACCCCGAGCAGAGTATTTCAGTGCCGAACCCTGTACCGATCCAGCTCTTACCGGCAGGTATGCTCTCTTTTCAGGTGCAGCTGAGGAGCTGCGCAAGTCCAGGCTTGTTGGCGTGCGCGACATCGCGCACCACCGCGGCTGTACTCCAGGCCTGACGATGAGACCTGCCATGCCACCAGCCAAACAAAGCGGACAACATGGAGGCACGCATAAGCTAGCCTTTTGGAAATGTATGGTTGCACGGCTTCAGGACCTCCATGGCCTCCGTATCGGGAAGGAGAGCCCGGGGAAGACTGCAAAACGTCAACAAGTTGGGAAGCTCATGCAGGCCAAACTCGGGAGTATCCAGGAGCATCTTGTCCCCATGGGGTCTCTGGAGGACCTCGTCCAGATCACCTCAGACATCCAGGACATCCAGATGCAGGCCCCTCAGATACCCCAACTGTCCCAGAACGGCATTAAAGACTTGGCCAAGCAGTGTAAAGCTATCCGAGACCGTGCTGATCGTGAAGTTCATCGGGATAAACAAGCTGGGTTCCAGGAGTGGCTTTCCCAGGGTCTCCGAGGGGGGGGGGGGGGGGGAGGGGGGCAAGCGGGCTCAACGGCATACCACAACGTGGGGACACGGAAGGGGACCCACTATGGGACCCCTCGGAGGCTCTGAAGATCAAGCAGACTCGGTGGCAGACACTCTGGAAGGACCCTGGGGGCCAAGGGCACCCTACCACGCAAAGCTGGTGGCGAGTTTTCCTGCAGGAAGCACGGGCCCAGGTACCTGAACTGTCTGAACTTCGAGCCCCACAGGTCTTGGCAGCGCGCCAGGCTTTCCCGAGATCTATGGGCATGGGGGCCGACCAGTGGAACCCCAAGCTATGGGCCGTCCTACCAGAGGAGGCGCATGATGAATTAGTCGGTCCCTTGCAGGACATCGAGCGCACGTGCGCGTGGCCAGAGCAGATCCTTTTGAATGAAGTTGGCATGCATCCCAAACCCACAGGAGAAGGGGCCCGACCCATTACACGGACCCAAGGATTGCACCGCACCTGGTCCCGACTCAGAAAAAGAAACTGTTACCACCTGGGAGAAACAGAAAGCGGGATTCTGGGATGCAGCCGCACGAGGTTCTGACCCTTTGAAGGCGGCCCTGCTCAGGCGCGCCAAGGCCAAACCCGCGAGCTGGATCTCGGTCGACTGGGCCGTCCTGCTCGTAGATGCGGAAAAGTTTTTCGACGCGCTCAGCCCTTTCTGGATATATACACTGGGCAAAGCACTCGAATACCCATTACACACCATGTACATGGTCATGTGCGTGCACACCGCAGATAGGGTCCTCATCTTAGGGCGGGAGGCCTCGGACTTTATCTCGGTCGAGCGATCCATCCTCCAGGGGTGCATGCAGAGTGCGAGCTGGACGCGCGCGTACTTACATGACATGCTCGACGCGGCACATGCACGATACAGGCCCATGGAGATCAGCACCTGGGTCGACGATATTTCCCTGTCCTCCAGAGGTCCCAAGGCCATCGTGCATCGGCTCACCACCCAGAGCGCCATCGCCTTGGTACGCCACATGAGAGCCCGAGGTCTCCGTCTCTCAAGGAATTCCCAGCTCCTCGGTAGCAATAAGGCCCTAGCCCAATGGATTCACGAGGCCCCCCAGAAGGCTGACATCCATATCCGGCCGACTACCAAGACGAGAGACCTCGGGCTTGATTCTGCTTCAGGACGGCGATCTACGAAGGTTGCCAAAGCTAGATTGAAGAAGGCCTTCGCCAGGGCCGAGCGGGTCAAGAAGCTCCTGAAAGCCAACAGCCAAGCCAGCAAGCTCAACCTCACGGGGGTTAAACCACAAGCTTCCTGGGGAATGATGGCCCAAGGGGCCTCGCCTACGGCGCTGAAGCAGCTCCGGTTCAAGATGGCCGCACTCACGGGGAAGCAGAGAGCTGGTGGCTGTGCGACAGTAGCTATCCGACTTGGCCCTGGAAAGAAAGGCGACCCTCTATTCTTTGCGCGGAACGACATGGTCAAGACATGGCTGCACATTTTCCCTGCTCTCATGCGCGAGCGAGCTGTTTTCCAAGCCGCCCGGAACAAATGCGTCGAGGCCATGCGCGCTGCAGTACGCCCGTGGGGCAAGGTCCGAGGTCCCATAGCTGCTCTGGTGACCGCGTTGCTTCACAGCGGGTGGGTCCCCCAGCTCCCCTGGCAGTGGAAGGGCCCCTATGGAGATACCTACTACTTGGCCCCCGACGAGGCCCCACCTGATAGAGAGCCCAGTTCTACTTGGAGGCGGTCTCGGGATCTAAACCAGGGTGGCAGCAGTGTGCACTGGCCGAGGTTGAGGGCACTTTCGAGCAGCAGACTTGGCGAGATTTTGCAGCCCAACACTTTTGTGGGAAGGGCCTCGAGCATGGGGCAGATCTTACAGTTGGCATGAAGCTTATCCGTGCCGATCGGCGTGCACAGCGTCTTGGGCACGCTGCTTTGCTCGAACGTATCGCTACAGGCGCACTGTGGCCAGGTGATCGTCGCCACCCTGCCGAGCCCGATCGGCAAAAATGCCCTCGATGCGCTGCAGCACGCCACTATCCGCTCCCCGTCGAGGACATCTTACACCAGCAGTGGTTGTGCCCATGTCTGGCGCCCACGGGGCATACGGCTTTCGACCTCCTACCCCAGGTCCAAGGTGAACACGAGGAGTGGCCCTGATTCTGGCATCGTGGAATTGTTCCGATTCTCTGGATTTACCCACACATCGACCAGTTCCCAGAATGGAAATTTGAATGTACAGGAGGTTTTGCTCAGGACCAGCGGATGGAGCTCCCCCCAGATGCCTATGTGGGTACCGACGGCAATGGCGGCGACTTCGCCAGTGACCTGAGGCTCCGTAGGTGTGGCTGGGGATTTGCTGCATGGGCCCATGGGGGCCATCCTCGGGGAAGCCTGGGGCCCGCTCCTCGGAAGGCACCAGACGGTGCCCCTCGCTGAACTTGAAGGCCTCACGCAGGCCCTGAAGCATACGGCTGGCCCAGCCACTTTTGTTGTAGACTGTGCCTATCTTTTGAAAGCCATCCACCAGGGCCCTGGCCAGGTGCAGCCTTTGCACGTGGCTGCCTGGGCCCGTTTTTGGCATGAGTTCTACCCCAGGCCAGGGAGTGCCCAGCTTCAGAAAATTAAGAGTCACCTCGCGGAAGCTGACATTGGCAGGCAAGTTTCCGAAGCTGAATTCAGGTGTAATGAGGCGGCTGACGAGGCGGCGAAGAGAGGAGCTGCCCTCGCCCAGTTGCCCCCTGCCTCCCTCGCCGAGGTTGCTCGAATCGATTCCCTGGCCAAAAAGGTCCTGGAACACTTGCTCGAAGTAGGAATGGTTGAGGTCCTGGCCAGGCAGGCTGACGCCAAGGCCCCAGGAGCCCCGACCCCAGCAGACCTGGTTGCAGCCCATAGGGCGCGACGAGATGAACGAATTGCAGCTCGAATGGACGCCCGCCAAGCTACCGCCCACCAGGTGGTTCCAAGGCGAGGCTCCTCGTTCTGTACTGTATGCCTGACGGCACCGACCCGCCAGCTTCCCACCATTCAGTGGCTAGCCGCCCCGTGTCGAGGCCTTTCCCATCAGATTCACAGCTCGCACAGAATTCGGTGCCTGCGCGGGCTGTGGTGGTGTGGGGTGTGCGGTGGTTCGGGGCACACTCGCTTCAATATTCTGGGGAAGGCCTGCCAGCGCCCGACAGGAGCTGGCAAGAAAGCTTTGGATAAGCTCGCCAGAGGACTACTCCCACCCAATCGGGAAGCCTGGCCAGACGAATCTAGGCCCAGTCCAAGGTGAGCTTTCCTGCCCCTTTTCCCCCTTTAAGGGCCCTGGCATCGGTACCAGACTCTGGCCCTCGCGTAGTCGTTCCCAGGAGGACGAGGAGGAGGAGGAGGAGGAGGAGGAGGAGGAGGAGGAGGAGGAGGAGGAGAGAGGAGGAGATGAGGGAGGAGGAGGAGGAGGAGGAGGAGAGAACAGAGAGGAGGAGGAGGACGAGGAGCAGAAGGAGGAGGAGAGGAGCAGGAGGAAGAAAAAGAGGAGCAGGAGCAGGAGCCCCCGCCGCCGGCGATGCGGTCGTCACGCCGGCGCGGGCGCCGCGTTGGCCGCGGCGGGCTCCGCGCAGGCGCCGCCCCGCAGGCCCTGCGGGGGGGGGGGCGCAGGCGCGAGCGCGCCGCCCTGAGGGCGGGCGGGCTCCGGCGGACGCCACGGAGCCTCCGCTCCCTGCGTCGCTGTGCCCTTCTCCTTGCCTCCTCCTCCCCCTCCTCCTCCTCCTCCTCCTCCTCCTCTGCTCCTCCTGGTTCGCCTCCTCGTCTTCCTCCTCCTCCTCCTCCTCCTCCTCCTCATCCTCCTCCTCTTCCTCCTCCTCCTCCGCGCCCCTCCTCCCCACTCCTCATCTACATGGCCTTCCTCCTCCGATTCCGCCCTCCTCCTGCTCGTGTCCTTGCTTCCCCCCTCCCTTCTATTCCTTCACGTCCTCATGATCTTAACCCTCCGATGCCTGCGCAGAGCTTCAACATGCGCCTTATGTGCTTCAGTCTATAGTGTAGGCCAATAGTTACCACAGGGTGAGAAGCATCCTCATCCTCGGCCTTTCCTTCCCCCTCCTCCTCCTCCTCCTCCTCCTCCTCCTCCTCCTCCTCCTCCTCCTCCTCCTACCTCCTTCCTCCTCCTCCACCTCCTCCTCTCCTGCTCCTCCCCCTCCTCATCCTCCTCATCCTCCTCCTCCTCCTCCTCCTCCTCCTCCCCACCTCCTTCAACGCCTCCCGTTCCTCTCCCTCTTGTCCCCCTCCCCCTCCATCTCCTCCTTCTCCTCCTCGACCATATATAGATTCCCCCTCCTCCTCCATATTCTTCTCCTTCCCCTTCACATCCGCCATATCATCTGTAGTATTACAATGTTGCTTATCCTGTGTGTCTCCGTATCGTCCTCCGTATCGTCCCCAACTTATCCTCTTGCTAGCTCCTATCGGTTGGTCCTACCGCCTGTCTCTGATGGCGGTTCGTCCACGCAGAACCGAAACAACACATCCGCCTCCCACACTCCTCGTCCTGCTCATCCAAGATGAGCAAAGCGGGGATGAGGAGGATGGAGGGCATGAAGACGGGAATGTGGAGGTGTGAGGAAGGGAAAGCAAGGGACAGTAGACGAGTAGAATGAGGGGGCGAGGAGGGGAAGGAAGGGGGAGGAGGATGGGGAGGACTGGACTGGACGCTTTGGGCGGACGAAGCAACACAACACAGCATGGGAGTGCCACGGGATACGGCCCAACCCTTCAATCCCAACCTGGACCCGAGACGGCAAATGAGGGGGGGGGAGGGGACCAGGGAGATGGAGAGGAGAAGGAGAGGCAGGACGAGGGGAGAGGGGGAGGCAGAGGATGGAGGAGGGGGAGGGAGATGAGGGGAGGGAGATGGAGCAGGAGGGGGGGAAGGAGGAGGGGGAGGAGGACAAGGAGAGGACAGGAGGAGGTGAGGAGAAGGCGAAGGGGATGGGGAGGAGGAGGGGGTAATCCGAAAGCCCTTATAACTGCGACGAGGCGACGATCGAAAGCAGTGCCCCGGCACTGCTTTGAACGCGTTCAAAGCAGTGCCCCGGCACTGCTTTGAACGTATGATATGATGATATGATGATGATTATGATTGATGATGATGATGATTTTTCCAGCGTACACTGTCCGCAACTGCGGCAATCAACATCATGCTCCACTTGCCCGCAACTGCGGCCATCACCAACGCTGCGCCTCGAAGCTCCACGGAGGGCGCTCGGCAGGTCGCCCGCTCGAGCCCCACTCGACTTCACGCTGAGGAGGCGAGCCCTCAGGGGCATTGTCCGCAACTGCGGCATGATCAGAGGGCCACCACTGCGCGCCATCAGCGCCCCATTCGCTCGAGCTCCAGTCCCACCAGGACCAGCCCTGCCATCTCGTGGCGGGACTGCGCGCCTCCCATGCGCCGCTGCCGCTGGCGTCCCAGGACCCAGCCGCCACTGCGGCACAAGAAGGGGTCGCATCGTCGCCGTTGGCAGCTTGCGGCGGTGGCGTGTTCCCAGCTCGCTCAGCCCCAGCGTCTCTCCCCGCAACTGCGGTTCCCATCTGGGGTCGGACGCCCTTCCCCGCAACTGCGGTGTCCGCGTAGCTGCCCTTCTTGCCGCCCTTCTTGCCGCCCTTCCTGCCGCCCTTCCTGCGTTCCAACCTCGCGGCGAGTCTTTCAGGTGACCTGCGGCACGTATTGTGCGTGAAAGCCACCAGAGGGAAGTGCGCTCCGTGCCTCGCCCTGCCGAAGGCGCCATGCCATATCTTGTCGTCGAGGTTGCCCTGCTTCACTCTGAAGGGATAGCGCACCCAATCGTCGCGTTCCCTGCGCGCCATCCTTTGCTCGAACTCCGCATCTGCGGTCAAGGATTCGCCAGATGGCGTCAGGAAGGCGCGCATCTTGTTTTCAACGGGCTCAGCCTTGGGCACGTAAGTCTGAAGCATCTTCCCAGGGCCATTCGTGTAGTCGAAGACAGGGAAAGACGGATCATGCTGGGTCGTCAAGAATCCGCCCTCACGGTCGTGCAGAACACTCAGGCCATGGTGAAGCTTGTACTGCCCAGGACAGTTTATGAACAAAATCGCCATGCTGTCTGCCCTGGGCTGGCCGCCTGCTGTCTTCCAGGGGGTCCACGCGGCGACGTCCACAGTCAGGCCGCAATTGCGGCACCAGGACACAAGCTGGAACATGCACATGTTGAAGTCCCCCATGCAGACCTTCACGTCCCATTCCCTGACGTAGGCGACGAACCAGTTGTAGAACTCATGGAGCTTCGTGACGCCCCAGTCTTGGTTGGCCAAGCTGTGGTGGACGTGCACCGCCATGACGTTGAAGGAGCCCCCCAAATGGGGCACGGCCTGGTCCAGGTGGACGCGCACCACCATCGCCCTGGAGTACTTGTTGTGCAGCTTTGGCGCAGGAGCCTCCGCAACTGCGGACTGTTTCTTCTTCTTCTTCGTTTTGGACTTCTCCTGCTTGTGGAAGAGTCTCGCAAAGTCTACGTGTTCAATGTGGCCGCCACTGCGGTCCCTCATGCCAACAAGGAGGGTCCCTGATGGCTCGCCGCCCTTAACGCACAGGTAGTTGTATTGAGTCCGACTCCGAAACCTATCGTCCGCAACTGCGGCTGCACTGTCCCTCGCGTCGTGCTCCCCACTGAGTACCGCGCAGGTCTCGTCGTCGCACTCGCAGAGGGCGATGATCTGGGCAGGGTTCGCGCGGAGCTGCGCCCACTCGTCCGCGCGTTGCGTGGGTCTAGCTGCAGTCCCTCCGAAGTTGGCCACGTAGAAGCCGACCCGTCCCGCTTCGAACTCCGTTTTCTCCTCCCATGCGTCGACAAGAGCTCTTTGTTTTTCCGACAGATTGCTTGTCTCGATGATGGGCACCCGTTTCCAGGGTCTCCGCGACGACAACACTCTCGGCATGTAGGAGTCATGTGCTGCCGCAACTGCGGCTCCCGCACCTCCCCGGGACTCAGCCTCGTCAGCGGAGGCGGCCGAGGACGCGACGGTGCTGTCGCCATCTTGCGTCCGCTGGTCGTCGTCATCATCCGCAACTGCGGCTTCCTCGTCTTTGCCTCCCTCCACCTCCTCAGCGTTGTGGATGAACACCGTTCTGGCGAATCGAAGTCCACGGTCCATACTCCCTGAGGATGCGCTCGGGCGCGCGGGCGGCCACATGCTTGCGTCTTCGCGCGCGCCACCTCGAGCCACGGTGGCTACGGAAATGGATCGTGAATGGGCATGGGGTCGGATGGAGGGAGGAGACAAAGAGGATTCGAGGAGTGGCAGAAGGAGGGCGAGGACTCAAAGGAACCGAAAGAACAACAAATGGACTGGCGGAGAAGCAGAAGGAGGGCGACGATTGCAAGGGACTGTGAAAGGATTATTTTCACAGCAGCAGGAAGACCGCAACTGCGGTTTTGCCTCATCTCCTGCCCGCGCGGGAGCCGCTTGGAAAAACAACTTCCCTCTGGACTTCCTGTGGGTCCGCAACTGCGGCCTGCATCACGCTAGGGCTGGGATTACCAGCGCCATTTGCCCTCCCAGGGTTCTCACTGTTTCCGAATGCACGAACTGCGACAGCGCCGAACGGTTCCCAGACGCCGCGTCGTTCGCGACTTTTTGCAGCCACCCAGCAAACGTGAGCGGCCATTGCTCCTTGTGCTGCTTGCACATCTCCTCGTCCCAATGCGTCTTGAACCATGCCCACTCCCCCCTCTGCTCGTCTGAGAGGACGCCTTTTCCGCGAGCCGGGCGATCCAGAGCTGCCATCCTGTTTTTCTTGATCTTGAACTCCTCGGGATTCCACTGCGCTAGGGCGTGTTTGTTAGCCAAAGCCGTTTCCACCGCAACTGCGGCCTCCTTCTTTGCCCTCAAGGCGGCCTCGGCCTCTCGAATCTGCTTCTTGAGATCGTGCAACGCCTTCGTCCTGTCGTTCGCTTCCAGAGCCAGGCGCCGCTTTTTCGCCACCACTGCGGCTTCGTGGTCTCGCTGGGCAGTCAACGCTCGTAGGACCTCGTTGTCCTCCCGCGCCAGCTCTCTCAACCGCTTCTTTTGTTTGTGTCGTTGCTGTCGGCAATCCTGCGCTAGTTTCTCCATGCCCACTTGGCGCAGCATATCTTCCGCCTCGCGGAGCGTTTCTGCCAAGGACGTCGCCACTGCCACCTGCTCGGCCGCCTCTGCGTCGACCACGCAGTCCATGGATACCGAGGATCCTTGAGGCCCAGGTGCCGCAACTGCGGCATCGCACTGTTCCGCAAGAGCCTCGGCCCACGAGGCCTCCTCTTGCTCTTCGTCCTCCTCGTGCTCCTCGTGCACCTCCTCCTCCTCCTCCTCCCCGCCCTCCTCATCGCCCTCCTCGTGGCATGGCTCCTGGCCTAGCGCTTCGTCGCCGAGCTTCTCCAACACGGAATCTGTGGCGTCGTGTTTCTCGTATTCGTGTATGAGACGCAGCACGTCATTGTAGGACCATTTCAAACGTTTCTGCTCGCATTCTTCCCTCACCTCCGCGACTGCGGTGTCCACTTTTGCTCGCAGCCCCCCTGCTTCCCAGAGTTCCGCCGCCTCTCGGCAAATCTCGAGATCTCCTGACTTGTCGAAGGGCGC